TCCTAACTGCTCATCTTCTAACCTTCTTAGTACTTTACAGTGAAAATATAATCAATGAACATCAAAAATGTAATTTACAACAGATACAGTTTAAGAGATCAAATTCATATCACAACAGGTCTAGATTCAAATCCAATTTCATGTAGCCAATTTTAACGTGATCAGAGTTGGAAAAACTTTTTCTACCAAGAGAAACCACCAGATTTGCTTTGAATGGTCACTTTAATGCATCCATCATGTGTGAAGGAGGTGTCTCTGTCTCTCATCTTTACAACAGACCTCTTCTTGAGAGATGCAGGAAATGTAAAGAGCTGAAGACGATATCCAACTTAGGCTGCGTGAGATATTTTCTTGCTGTTGGTTTTCTTTCAGACACGAATTCCTGAAATTAGAGCTGATGCTGCAGTGCTAAGACAAGAATGACCGCAAACAACTTGTCAGAAAGCATGTGAGATAATAATCAAAGCAACCACATTTTTCAGAAATAAAAAGAGGAAAGCTGCAGGGCCAGATGGAGTCCAGCTGTCTTGAAGCACTGTGCAGCCCAGCTAGCCCAGATCTTTATCATAATCTTTAACAGCTTTCTTAGTAAGTGCACTGTCCCCAAATCATTTAAAGACTCTGTTATCATTCCTGTACCGAAATCCAACAAAACATCATGTTTAAATGACTATAGACCTATAGCTCTCACCTCGGTTGTAATGAAATCTTTTGAACCTATCATACAAACTCACCTGAAAAAGCTCACTTCTCCCCTCATGGATAGCCACCAGTTTGCTTACCAGTTCAACAGATCAGTTGAAGATGCAATAAACTTAGCCATGTATTGCATCATGCAACATCTGGAATCCTCTCACACCTACGCCCGGCAACCTCTTCAATAAATTCATGGATATGAACGTTGGCATCACTCTTTGCCATTGGATACACAATTTTTTACCATATAGGACTCAGAGAGTCAGGATTGGTAGACTCCTGTCCCAACCTCTGACGCTCAGCATAGGGGCCCCTCAGAGGTTCTCCCTGGCTTTTTTCCATCTACACAAATTCACTGGTATCCTCTGACAGCTCAGTCTCTGTCCTCAGATATGCAGAGGACACCACTATCAATGGCCTTATCACTAACAATAATGAACTATACTATCAGGAACAGGTTAGCCTTGCAGTCTCATGGTAGATAACCTAGAGCTTAACACCTCTAAAACACAGGACTTTTCCTGCTTTCCCACACACAAGATACCAATCTCAGTTTCCAACCAACCCATTACAATCACAGAGTCATACAAATTTCTAGGTACACTCATCAATACTAACCTTAAATGGAAAAAGCATGCAGATCACATTTACTAAAAAGGAAATAAACGTTTATCCTTCCTTGGACAACTAAAAAAATTTAGAGTCAGGCACAATATCCTGTTTCAGTTTTCGTCCTCATCTATAATTGTCTGGTATGGTAGTTTGGACACACAACCATAAAAAAAACTACAACGTATAGTAGATTAATCATCCAAAATTACAGGTCATACCCTCCCTTCCATTGACTCATTATATCAAAGACACATCACACAACGGGCGGGAAAAATCATCTCTGATCCTTCACACCCTGCATTCCACCTGCATATTGCTGCCTTCTGGAAGACGGTACAGGTCCCTACCGACCAAATCAGTTAGATTCAGATTCAGAAACAGTTTCTCCTGGCAGCTGTATGATCACTAAATCAAGTATTTACCTGAAATGTCTATATGTTCCTGCCATTGAATGTGGACTGTTGTGTGAAGACACAGAGATGTGAGCATGCCATGCTGTACTGAAAACAAAGTCCACCAACTTGTTGCGTGGTCATTAATAAATAAATCTGAATCTCTGATGCAGGTTGGTTTTTGGGAGCAACAAGGAGTGTTAATTTATGGAGCCACTCATATTCTAGGTTCAAATGCAGACATGTTACACAGAAATGGATGAGTACAGTCTACCCATTTTGAAAAAGGCTTCAATGTGTGGATCTTGTTTTTGAGGGATCATCTCTGACAGGTTGAAGAAGGCAGTGCGGCAAAAAGCTATAGGACTCAGTGGAAATCAGGAGGAAGGGACTTTTGTTTGAGACAACTGACTTATTCCACCTTTGTGCTATGACAGAAATCACAAAGACTTCCATCTCACTGCAGTTAGAGCTCTGCTTTTCTTCTCTCATTTTTGGAAATGACCTCTCAGCTTTAACCCTCTCAGGCTCAAAATAAAAGGACAAACAACTAAGTCCTTCAGGGGTACTTCTGAGTTAAAAAATACTCATGAAACAAGTAACCAGGTAGGTAGGTTTTAGCGTTGCAAATCTGCAACGCCTGCCTCCAGAGGGTTAAAAAGATAATTCTGGGATAAATTTGACAGATTAGATTGTTTTTGCTTTATTAAAATTGTTGAGAATTATCTGTGACCATCTGAGCTATATTAGTATCTAAAGGTGTTTTAACACAGATCTAATTCTGTGTTCAAAATATAAAATAAATCCGTTGTATTTTGCTTCATGGAATAAGAGCTCACCATAATTTCTATTTATTTATTTAAAAGCTTCTGAAAGTTTGCATTCTCCAACAGAGGCGGTTTTACCATTAGGCATAGGTAGGCGGTCGCCTGGGGCCCCCTTGTGTTGGGGGGCCCCCTAGCCCTGACTGCCGGCACCCCTCTGTTAATGCCACAATATTCTTATTACCAACCTGTGGCCGCAGACGGGTTTGGACATGCGCACTTCTCATTACCAGAATTCCTGAACCGTTCAAGATATCTGTAAAATTCCAAAAGTGCTGGAAAGATTAAAAATGGGGCTTTTCGTGTTTATGGTAGCCACCGGGATTCCCTGTCTTGAGCGCAACGAATCACAACACAGATTCAGAGACGCGCTGAGTTTGTTATCCAAAATGCTCCGTTTTATAACTTTTGAATGGCTGATCAGATTCAAAAAATTCCAACGGTTCCTAAAAGTACATAAAAGCAGCTTTCCACGATCTATACCATGAAGCAATCAGAGTCAGGGAAAATATCGCTACGAGGGGAAATCCTGCTGTACAGCCTGATTGAAACAGAGCGCAGCGCCACGGTGAAAGCGGATAACGGAACGGGGAAGCTAATCAGCATAAAAACCAGCATGAAATTATGGAAATGCCTCAAAGAAAATCAACACAATCTATTAGGTGTCCCAGAAGGCTTATATCTGAAGACAGTGACCACAAAGAAGGACACTCCGGTGAACCAGGGTATGAATCTTTGTTCAGTCTTTATTTTTTTTTTAACAACCCTCAACTATTTGCTAATTGTAAGATTCAGCTTCATTCCAGCATTATTTATCTTTTTACCATAAATAATTATTTTTGCGAAAACAAAAGTTTTTGGTATAGCAGTGCACGGTGTGCAAGAAGCACCCCATGGCGGTGTGAGGTGTGCAGGACTCTGCCTGCAGCTGGAGAGAAACTGCTTAAAGGTCTAACACATTAAATAAAAACGTCTGAAAGTTTACAAAACTAAATGGTCTTAAAAAGTGCTAAAAAGATACAAAGGTTCAAACTTTTTTAAGAATAGATGCATTTCAGTTCAAAGTTTAAATTGTTTGCCCAGTAATTTTGAAGTGATAAATGTAAAAAATTCAAATCCGTGTTTTGCTTTTTTTCACTTTTAAGCTGATTTTTTAAAGGCTTTAATAGAAATTCATTCTAAATACAAACCATACACTGAAAGCTAAGGTTGTTCTGAAAAAAGGAGACGAGTTACACACACTTTGCGCTTTTTATTACAATTTTACAGTCATAAGAAAAAATACCAGGCGGCCCTGTTATAATTATGGTCCTAAGAGGGTTATTAAGACGGCGATGCACAAACTGGAAGTGATTGGTAGTCATTCTACTCCAATCCAGTTGGTGGCGGTAATGCACCAAATTGTTGTTTGCCAAGTGCCATAAGACCACAAATAAGAAGAAGAGAGGCGGGAGCGTTTGTAACAAACTCAAAGCGATAGTCAAAACATTAAGCATGAAATGGAGTTATCCTAGTGGCTCCAATAAGAGAAAGAAGCAGCGTGCTTCATAAAAGCTTTTATTTTCACTTCTGAAAGTGACGTCGTTTTTCAATGTAAACATCAAAGGAAAAAGGAAAGACAATGGAAAATGTTTAAAGGGAGGAAAACACAGACCAAAATGGAAAATAGAAAAAAACACTAAGGCTAAAGCACAGGAACACTGACAGGAAGAAGAAAGCAGAGCAAATATTGAAAGCACTCAAAGGGAGGGAAATACAGGAAAAAAGAGGAGGACTAATAAAAAGGGGAAATAACTCATGTCAGAAGAGGGGAGAGTTTCGCAAATCCAGTTAAAGGTAAGACTGTCAAAAATTTAGTGTAAGGGGCCCCATGTCTGTGTTCACCTTGGGCCCCCAAATTGCTAAATCCGCCCCTGTTCTCCAAAATTGAACCAGTCCTCCCCAGGCATCAACTGTCCAGGTCCAATCTGCTCTCATTAAGTGTTGGGGATGATTCTCAGCTGCTGCTACACCAGAGTTTGGCCCAGTATCTGTAAATTATTTATAATTATTAGGACACCTTTCTGTTTTTGCTAATGTTGGGTGGCAGTCCTTGGTTACAGCTGATGCAACACGTTTTTAATCCATGTACTTTTAACTGCTTTGATACAATTATGAAATAATTTTAGAAATCCATTATTGATGATGGGATATTATGGGATGATTTGCAATTTGCATTCCCAAAACTTCAGGAAAATGAATCGTCACGCCCTTTTCTAAATGAGAAACAATCACAAAACAACCAGACATAGTTGGTCAGAAAATAAATCAAATAATTTAATAGCATAACATAAGTTTTATCATTATTTTTTATTTATGGCTTTACTTATTCTTGTGTATAAAATAACTTTTAATAAATGAATTACTTTTGATTTCTCACTAGAATAAAATAACTTTTTTCTCTTTACATATACTTTTGAGAAAACGCTCCGCCCCGCTGAGGGTTTTTTCTGAGTTTTGAAGTGGGGCTGCACAGCTTAGCCTTTCACAAAAGAATAGACGATGGAGTTGTATTTAATTTCGATCCTTTTAGCGAGCATCTTCATCATTCCCTTCGCGCTGAAAACCTTCTCCCCTTACGTCTGGATGGACTTTCTGTACTTCGGGGATCTTTTGCGGATTTTAGTGACGTACGGCGCCAGACGCAGGAGGAGACCTCTGTTTTTCGTCCTGGATCGTTTCTTGGAGCAAACTGTAGCTTGTCCGGATAAACTCTTTATTGCGTTTGGGGATGAACGCCACACGTACGCGGACGCGGACAGGAAGAGCAACAAAATCGCCCGTGCGCTCCAGTCTCAGGCCGGGTACACGTCTGGGGACACAGTCGCTCTTTTTATGGGAAACGAGCCCACCTTCGTGTTTACCTGGTTGGCCTTGGCCAAACTTGGCTCTCCTGTCGCTCTCTTGAATTACAACATCCGGACCAAGTCTCTGCTGCACTGTTTTAACTGCTGCAAGGCCAAAGTTTTGGTAGCAGCTTCGGGTCTGGTTCTCTGGGTTCACTTTCAGGTATTTTTTGCAGCTGTGAATAAACTCAATGTTTATTATTTTTTTCTTTTTGTCTCTCTAGATCTGAAGGAGGCAGTGGAGGATGTGTTGCCCTCACTGATAGAGCAGGGCGTTGTCGTCCTTCTGATGACCAAACACTGTGACACATCAGGAATCCAGAGCTTCTTGGATAAAGTCGAGGAGGCACCTGACTCTCCTCTTCCTCGATCCCTTCGATCACACCTTTCATTCAAAAGTCCTGCTGTTTACATTTACACCTCTGGAACAACTGGTACTAAAGAGGCCGGATTCGTGATGTTTTTCTTATTTCAGGATAATTTACCACCAGTGTATTAGCACCAGGAGTCCTTCATTTTTTTGCTCTAATCTGTGTTTCAGGTCTTCCTAAAGCAGCCTTGGTCAACCAAAATCGTCTTTTAACAGCTCTGGCTATTTTATCTTCAAACGGTGTCACGTCCAAAGATGTCATGTACACTAACCTGCCTCTCTATCACACAGCAGGGTTTTTTGTTGGCTTCATTGGCCCCATTGAAACAGGTGAGACGATAAAGGGCATAGCTACAATACTACGTATAGATCATCTTTATAGAGTTCATTCAGTTGCATGGTTTTTGAAGAAATTGTTTCTTCTTTCTCTTCCCAATCCTAATACTCGCACTGTGCCCTACAGTCTTCTGTGAAGTGCACTTTGAGGAAGTGCACTAAGTAAGGCTTTGAGTGTGTGGTACACAAGTGTGCAAATAATTGCCAAATAGGGACAGGGACATCGACCGTCACACATGCCGGGATGCTGGTTGCTGGTTACCTTTTTAAAAAAAATCTTAATTAACAACTTTCAAACAAACAACAAAGCAATTGCTTGACAAAAATTACATTCATTGCTGTCAACATTAAATATTTGTTTAAAACATTAAGAGCATCAATTAATCTTCCTAAAATGAACTACTGTCATTTGAAAATACATATTTTCAGAAAAGACACTTCAGCAATGGATTGTGGGGGATACCCTTCACCGGAGTCCGCATTGATGCAGACAAGAGTGCAAAAGGACGTGGTCCACTTCCGCACTTGGGAATCGGGACACCTTACGCACTCGCACACCTGGGCGGGATCGCGTATTTGAAGGGTGCAAGTGTGGAAGTGTGAATATTGGGATTGGGCAGTTTTCTTCTTTTTCGTGACATGTTTGCAAAGAGACAAGACAAGGTTGACTTCAGTGTCAAATGGTTGACGTAACAGCAACGTTTGAAACCAAGATCAGTTATATCAGTTATTAGAGATGATTATCCAAAACTGATGTACCTAAATTTAATTTAATGTTTGTAAAATTGACTGAATTCTAGTTCTTTAAAGTTTTCTAATGTTGATGAGCTGTCTTGTGCCCAATCTCAATACTCGCACTGCGCCCTGTGGTCTTCAGCAAAGTGCATTTGGAGAAAGTGCGCTGTAGGGCTTCGAGTGTGTAGTACACAAGTATGCAAATACCGTAGTTGTAGAATTGAGACAGGGAGCATTGCGTCATCAACCGTAAAGCATGCCGGGATTCTGGTTGCTGTGATACTTCTTCAAAAAAATCCTTAATTAAAAACTTTCAAACGAACAACCAAACAATTATTTGAAATAAATTTACTACAGTCATTGCTGCGTTGTCTAAAAGTTTCAGAACATCAACTAATCATCTTAAAATTAACAACTTTCATTAGAAAATACATATTTTCAAAAAAGGCAGCCTTTTCTCCCGCAGCAATGGATTGCGGGTAATACCCTTCACCCAAGTCCGCATCGCTGCAGACTTGGGCGAAATGCGGATCAAGGATGCAAAAGGGGCGTGATCAACTTCCGCATTTGAGAATCAGGACACCCTACACATTCGCGCCCCTGGTCGGGGTCGTGCAATTGAAGTGCGCAAGTGGGGAAGTGTGAATATTGGGATTAGGCCCGGGGCCATCTTTAATTGAGTTAAGTTCAAAAGGTTATCTCAGATGTGAATATAATGAATATTATTTGAGATTTTCATTGAGGTGAAACAAATACAAAAATGTTTGGTAAAGCAAAAACATTACCACCTGCCTTTGGGCAGGTAATTAAAATATAATCAACATAAGCTCACAATTCTTAAACATGAGTTAATTTATCAGCTTCATGATTGAAAACCTCCAAAGCCTCAAATATCAAACTATGGCTACCAAACTGCAAATTAAATCAAACTTTTCTTCTGCAGTGCACACAAGAGTAATCCTGCTTCTCTCATTCAGTGAAAGAGTCTTTTGTCAGCAGGGATCTGAACAGATCCTTTCTACAGAATGTTTCCTAGAACATTCACAGTTATGTGCTGCATGCCTTTATCTGCTCCCTTTCTTTAGTACTCTGACCAATAGTGTATGTAACAGCTTTTCGATCAGCACATTTTATTAGATGCAAAAATGTCCACCTGAAAACTGTTTAGTTGGAGAAGTTGGTCATAAAAGTATGTTTTTAACAATGACTTTTGCTGTTTTATGTTGAAGGGTCAACCATAGTTCTAAAGAGGAAGTTTTCTGCCTCTCAGTTCTGGGATGACTGCAGAAAATACAACGTAACTGTTGTTCAGTACATTGGCGAGGTGATGCGCTACCTCTGTTGCACTCCAAAGGTAAAATGTTTATTCCAGTAAGTAAGGTTATGTTTAATATTTTTACAGAATAGGAAGATTTATATCACAGATTTACCTAATTTAAAGGAAATGGTTAATTTCACATTGTGATCGCATCTTTAACCAGAATTTAAATGTTAGTTTTACTTTCAGAGGAACAACTGAAAGTTAAACAAGCTCACACATGATCTTTTGGCTGGAAATGGGCACCACGCCTCGTCTGCAATCCTGACTCTACTGTAACACTTCCTGTGAAAGACAGCTGCAGAATCCTGCAAACCGTTTGCAGAGAGCTGCTGTCAACGAAATGTATCTAGTACAAGAGAACTATTTAAATCTGTACATTCACAAAGTACAGCAGTAAAATAGAAATAATTCAATCCTAATTATCGCGTTCCAGCCGTCAGCATCCATATCAATGTGGCTAGGTAGCAACGAGGAAGAGAAAACATCAGATTTTATAGTTTTAAAAGGAATGCACAGTTTTGCATGAATCCCACAGAGGTTTATTTATATTTTGTAGTACTGTAAACATTCTATCTCCATGTGTGCCATTCAGAGTGTCTAATTACATCACATGAAGTATGGTCTCAGTTTACTGTGTTACCGTGCACGAGTCAGAGGAGGTGGCTTGTCTTTTTCTGGTCACCTCTCGGAATAGATGCTGGCCTTAAGGTTGGAGGGTCGTATCGAATAACTCAGCAGTCGCATTTTCTTTCACTAGTATTCCGTTGGACTGAATGGTCGTACTATTTTAGGTCACAACGTGTAAGGGTCGTGGATTAGAAGTGTTTTTGCTTGGGTTGTTTGTTTCTATGTCAAATTCTTAACATATTTGAAAGCAAACATGAACAAGATAAGAAGGTGATGCCTTTTAAATTAAGGTGTTATTAGATAACTGTATATAAAGTCTTGTACGCTAACAAGCATGTATGCTAAAAATAACACAGTGCACGTCTTGGAAATACCAATGTGATGTGTTTAGACAGTTTTTGTCCTGTCCAATATCTACAGTACTGTTTTTTTCTTTGATCACAGTTTTGTTCTATAATCTTCATGAACAGATTCTACTTCTCTCTGTTGACATTCATTTAGTCAATTATTGTTTTTGTGTGAAAATGTAGAGAGACAATGACAAGGACCACAAAGTGAGATTGGCTATTGGGAACGGTATCAGAGCAGAGGTTTGGAAAGAGTTTCTGAACCGCTTTGGAAATGTTCAGATTCGAGAGTTTTATGCTTCAACTGAAGGAAATATTGGATTCCTGAACTACCCCGGAAAAATGGGAGCTGTTGGACGAGTACACTTTTTGCACCAGGTGGGTATAAGCAACAAATATAAATCTTTTAAATGAACCTTGAAATAGTGTGTGTGTGTGTGTGTGTGTGTGTGTGTGTGTGTGTGTGTGTGTGTGTGTGTGTGTGTGTGTGTGTGTGTGTGTGTTGTGTGTGTGTGTGTTTGCGTTTGCTTGCTGATCTGTAATTAGCAAAACAAGCAGAAATCTGTAACGGAGCAAATATTTTATGTGAACAGCACACCTTCAGCTCTAATATATTAATCAATTTCTCCACTTTCTCCATTACTGTTGATCTCTTGGTTAAAGTCTTGACTCTTCCTGCCCAAACATTAACCGAGTTCTTGTTTGACCTTTCACCCTTAGTGTTTAAGTCATTCAAGGGGTCTTTTAGTTCATGGCCTTTTTTTTTTGGGTGTTTTTCTTAAGAATTTGGCCACACAGTTCTCAAATGTTTCATTTATTATTGGGAGTTATAGCAGAAAAACAGGCCCAAACCATGAAACTGTCACCACCAAGTTATTTAAATTTTAAAATGTCCTCTAAATGTGTTTTTCATTTTTATTGTTTTTTTTTACTAGACAAGTCCAATATATGGTTATTATCTATTGTTTTGATTCTGTAGGGGTTAAACATGGTTGATTTTAAGCTTAATATATGATCTTCACTTATGACCAATAAGATGTGATATTCTATTTAAATATAGAATATCAACCTGCTTTGTCTTTGGATGTTTAATCAGAATATTCTAGGATTCTTTGCTTTTTCAGGGATCAAACACACTTTGTATCAATTCAGACAGAGTCAGGTTTATAAAAAGTAAGAATTTATTTTCTAAACAATTAAAAACATGACAAGTTAACTAGACTACTGTGATGGATGAATCTAAGTGGATGGGATGTGATGTATGGTGATTGAATGGTGTGTGTTTATCAGAACCTTGTATCTAGAAGAACTGAGTTCTGGGTGTGAAAAGGAATTATTTTGCATTAAACTATGAAGTTGGTTCTTATCAAAACGACATCAGACGCAATCGTGTGTGTCTACCTCACCATTTCTTTGGAGACCCTCTTCGCGGATCCGGAGGTCAGGGAGGTCGGATGACCTCTGGGCACCGAGGTTCGGTAGATTAACCGCAGCACCGACGCTCCAGTCCAGAGATGTCGCCAGGCACACAGGTTGGAGCTAGTTTGCATCTAGAGCAGCTGTTTCTGAATAGCTGAAGGAAATGTTTTGCTGTGTCAGCTGTAGGCAGCTTTTAGCTTGTCGAAAGCTTGACAAGAGATGCGGTGTGAGCAGTTTCCCTCTGATGGCCAGTCAGAGTTAGCTCAACTAAATGCTGAATCTCACAGAATGCGATCCTGTTTTAATATTCTCATATTATGATTTACTTGGCCAATCGGGATGTGCCATGCTAAGAGGTGTTAACAACAACAACAACAACAATCCTCAGAACATCACACCTTCTTTCAGATACAGGATGCTCTGATTTGTGGGTAAGAAAATATCTATGTGTGGTGACATTACTTTAACTTTAATTTATCTCTAATGAACATTGTGTGTGAGTGTAGATAATGATTCACCTGTTAAATCAAACATTACTGATCATAACATTAAAATGTTTCATTGTAATAATAAAATTCATTTCAATCACAGTAATTTAAGCACAGATTAATCAAAACATTTCATTAGTATTCATATAACATTTGTTCATTCAACCATATTATTATTTAATGATTATTTAACTTATGAGTTGTAAAAGTGTTCACTTTATTCAGAGGCATGAGCAATCCTGTAGAAGCGATAAGGGAATCTTAGGCCTTGAAACGGGAACAGGTTGTCGACAATATGTTATCATGTGTTCAGAGCTGCAGAATCTTCTGGGCTTGTTGGAAGATAGAATGTAAAATCCACCTTAGAGAATCAAATTTATGTCTGTAGATGACCGGTGGCATGTAGGTCAACATGTAGGTGAAAACTGACCATTTCTGGATGATACAATTCATAAAAATAACATCACTCATTGCAGCAGAGATTTCTATTCATTAGCTTTTAATTATTTACAACCTTTTGGCCAGCTTCCTTTTGGAGTGATCTCAGAAGTTTTGGGTACATTAATGATTATTCAGATAATGTGTTCAATACTTGTGCAATACCAGATGTACATTAAGTATGTCTGTGTCCTTTATGCTGAGTCGTTCTGGAAACCCACATTTTCTTCTTATTTGTTGTTTGTAGTGGTCGAAGGTTACAATAAAAGAGTATTGCCTATGTGTGTTTACCTATAATCTTGGTATTATCTTCTTCCTTTTTTCAAGTGAATTTCCCCACTGTGGGATTAATAAAGTATATTCTATTCTATAAACACGTGTAGACAATAGTAAAAATCTCCTTTTTTACTCAAACAGAAGTTGTTTCCTTACACTCTTGTAAAATACGACACTGAGCGAGACGAACCGGTACGAGACGCTAACGGTCTCTGCATCAAGTCACCCAAAGGTAATAGAAAAATTCTTTTTTCTGAGAAAAAAAAATCAGTTTGTTTAAGCATAACTCTGTATGTTTCTGATAGGTGAAACAGGACTGCTGGTATCAAAGATCACAGACATCGCTCCATTTGAAGGCTACGCCCAAAACAAAGAGCAGACAGAGCGCAAAAAGCTCCGGGATGTCTTAAAAAAAGGAGACCTTTACTTCAACACTGGAGACCTGATGAGAATTGATAAAGACAACTTTATTTACTTTCAGGATCGTGTTGGTGACACATTTAGGTGATGGCAATTTTCTGTGTTTTTAAAGCTGCTTTACAAAATCTGCAATACAAGCTAGCTTTTAAACACAAACACAGAACTCTCATCCCTCCCGTCGGCTATCATCTTAGGCCACGCCCCCCGGATATGGGAACATTCATTGCCAGAGTAAACAAGAGAGCACTAAACACCAGTCGCCATTTTCTAGGTTCAAACATTTTTTGTTGTCCGTGACTTGAAATGGTGTTTTCTTTTTTGGGAATCTGGTTGTTTATCCTAAAATTGAAGTGGTAGCAGCCGTCTGTTTCTCCTTCTCTGCTATATTTGAAAGGAGAACTTCTCACACCAGTGGTGTTCTGTTGCTAAATACGCAAGAAAGTAATTAATGAACGATCCGTGAATGTGCGCAGATTCGGCAAGACCAAAAATCTGATGGTCTAATAGTTATTTTCGGTCAGAGCCGCATTATTGGCTGAGGTTTTTAGATAAACGCGACAGAACTAAATATTTTTTTTCTATTTTTATCTCCACAAAATATCTATATCGATACTATGAGAATGTTTTTAAGAGACTTGTTTTGCATGTTTGGCATTGCAGCTTTAATGGTTTCTTCTGATTTCAGGCTAAACGATGAGCTGGAGTTTCATTACAAATGCGACTAGTTTTTCTAAAGAGTCAAACTCACATGAACCAGGATCTTATTTAGCATATTAAGGACAAGCATGTGCTGACAAATGGTTCTGTCACTTTTGTTTTAAAAACAAAAATTAAGAAAAGGTGTTAAAAAGCAGCTTGTTTGCACTTTCAGGTGGAAAGGTGAGAATGTGGCAACAACCGAGGTTTCAGACATTCTTTCTTTCATCGACTGTCTCCAGGAAGCCAATGTTTATGGAGTCCAGGTGCCAGGTGAGGGTGGCTCCCAGTGCATATTTATTAATACAGAAATACAATAAAGATAAGTAATTTGTTGGTGATCTTTGCTGCTTAATTAATAAACTTTAGGACACGAGGGTCGTGTAGGGATGGCAGCTGTCAGCTTGAAGGAAGACGGAGAGTTTGACGGGAGTAAAGTCTATAAGCATGTCGTCAGCTACCTGCCGTCGTATGCTCGACCGCGCTTTATAAGGATCCAGGTGATTTATTCAAAAAAACTCATTCGTTATTGAAATACATTACTGTAAACGGAACATCCGTGATATTAACGTGTGTTTCCTTCTGTACAGAGTGCCGTGGAAGTGACGGGCACTTTTAAGCAGATGAAGGTGAAGCTTGTGGCGCAGGGGTTTGATCCAGGACAGGTCCAGGACCCTCTGTATTTCCTCGATGATTGTGTTAAGAGCTACGTTCCTGTGACCGCTCAACTCTACAGCTCCATCCTATCAGGAAGCATCAAGCTATGAGCAGGTTCACAGGCTTGGCTCTTTGTAAGTTTTAACTTCCTGCTCAGGGACACAACAGTGTTTTTTAGTGCTTTTGCTTTAAAATGAGTTCTTGGGAATATGTGTTGACATGAAAGGACACATGTAAGCAGTGTTTGGGTGATGTTTTTACAGTAAAGAGATGGTATAAATATGTTTGCTAGCATGCTGGCTGCTTTCCAGGAGGAGGACTCCTGCTTAGACTTTGTTCTTGGTAATCTTTGGTGTTAACATGTGTTTGAAGGTGGTATGGTGCTGGATCCTGTTACAACAATAAAGATGATGTATGAGACTTCTAGTCTTCTAGCAATATTGTTTTCCTTGTTTTAATTTTTGAAAAAATTATTTGCTCTTAATTAAGATGTCAGTAGTGTGTGACCATGAGTGTTGGACAAAACATCTAGGAAATGGCCTTTTTTAAGCCATAAATATTACATAAATTAAAATTAAATTAAACAAAATAAAATTAGTGATTTTTATTTTAAGGACCACTAAATTTTATGTGCGTTTTTGGTCATTGCAGCTGTTTAGATCAAATTTCCTGACATCTGCAATGAACGACCACAAGGTGAGGCCACCTTTTACTTTGCACAACCCCACATCAGAAACAGTTGTAAAAGATATTGTAGCAATACTGTTCATGGTTAAGATAAGGTTAAATGTGTGTAATATCTCAAACTTTGTGCTTTAAGCTTTTCTCTGATATTAAAGTAAGTCTTTAGGACATTGCTACTGTAGCCTCCAAAATCTGACAAATAAATGTGATTACTTTGAAAAATTCTAGTCTAGGACAATTGCAGAGATTTTACTATAATTCCTTTATGGACAATAGAGTCCTATATGTTTGTGTTATTTAAAAATTGTTTTTTTTTATCACAGATTTTCTGCTGCATTACATTTAAAGAAAAGAGAACAAACATTTTATTATAGGAACGGGTTGGTAATAATGTGCTTTGCACATAAAGCAATTTCTGAAAAGTGATAAGTGATTGTTTTCATTGCACAAAATTGTTTAGGGAAAGAAAGTATTTTGAGAAGCAAAAGTGGACTGTTTACCATTTTGCTAGTTGAAGATCAAGTTTAGATTTTTTTAAACAAATAGTTAATTATTTGAACTGGCTCGTTTCTGCTCAGGGTATTGAGAAAGCTGGAGTCCTTGGGCGAAAGGTGTAATACATCCTCAACAGGTCAAAGGTCCATCTCAGTAGTGCATTCAAATGTTTCTATGACATTGTGCAAATTCAAACAGTCATGTGATTGCTTCATCTATTCTGGTGAGTGTTATAGAAAATCCACAAGAAGTGTGACTCCTAAAAATAAATGGCTGGCTGCAGACAAACATCACTAAGCAGTTCCATACATCCATGCATTTTCAGCCGCTTACCTGGGGTTGGGTCGCGCGGTGTTACGTCCCCGACAGGAGGTGTTAAAATGAGAAGGAGGGGGTAACATGAGCAATACAACAGTGGAGTTAAAATGGTTTTAATTGTTGTAAAATGTTCTAAAAACAAGAGCAAACAGATGGCGAGCATTATAAAGATAATGCAAAGCCAAAAAAAAAAAAACTAAAAAAGGTTAACATTACACCAATTACCAACTACAAAAACACCTGGTTAAAACATATTAAAAGTTTTACCAACACAGAAGGTGTTTACAACCAGAGTCAATAAAATTCCATCAAACCAAGTTAACTTTTTTTAACCAACAACATCAAAATATCCCTCTGGATCCTCTAAGAGCTTCACTCTTTAAAAGCTCATAACTCAGAGGTAAAACCTTTAAGTTAACTCATCTCAAACAAAGGGGTTGAGGTTGAAACCAAACTGAGGCCTGGAGGACAGCAGAACCCCTGCACTGCTGCCTTCCAGACTGCTGAAGGCACAGCCTTTTTATGCCAGGTGTGGGTCATCAACAGGATTCAGCTCAGCTGTGCTCCTCAGCAGCCTGGAAGAGAGGAGGGGGAGGGGCGGTGTCAGGCTTGATCACCAGGGCTGGGTGATCTTGGCTCATGCATCCCACTGGCCAGGCTGGCAGCCGTAGCACGGGGGCAGTGGGTGGGAGGCCCAGACTTTCCACTCCCAAGCTACTTGGGCCAGCTCCTCTGGGGGAATCCCAAGGTGTTCCCTGGCCAGCCGAGTGACATTGTCTCTCCAGCGTGTCCTGGGTCTTCCTTTAGGTCTTCTTTCAATTGGACGTGCCTGTAAAACCTCACCAGGGACATCCTAACTAGATGCCTGAGCCACCTCAACTGGCTCCTCTTGATGTGGCAGATCACTGGTCTACTCCGAGCCCCTCCCGGATGACCAAGCTTCTCACCCTATCACTAAGGGAGAGCCCAGCCACCCTGCTGAGAAAACTCATTTTGGCCGCTTGTATCTGCGATCTCACTCTTCCGGTCACTACCCAAATCTCGTGAGCGTAGGTGAGGGTAGGAACGTAGATAGACCGGTAAATCAAGAGCTTCACCTTCCGGCTCAGCTCTTTCTTCACCACAACAGTCTGGTAAAACGCCCGCATCACTGCAGATGCAGCACCAATCCGCCTGTCGATCTCACGTTCCATCATTCCCTCACTCATGAACAAGACCCTGAGATAACTAAACTCCTGGGGGAAGGACCTCATCCCTGACCTGGAGAAGGCATTCTATCCTTTTCCGACTTAAGACCATGGTCTTGGATTTAGAGGAGCTGATTCTCATCCCAGCTGCTTCACACTCGGCTGCGAACCGCTCCAGTGAGAGCTGGAGATCACATTCCGATGAAGCCAACAGGACCACATCATCTGCAAAACGCAGATACTCCATATGTCACCAAAACAGATCCCCTCAACACCTTGATTGCACCTAGAATACCATACACCTGTCCATAAAAGTTATGAACTGAATTGGTGTTTTACTAACTTTTACTTCCATAACTTTTATGGACAGGATCGACACCAAGCAGTTATTGTTACAAATTTTGAAAATTGTTTTTTCAAGTCAAAATTCCAGCCCAAAGCACAATTTAGTGTGTAGCCCCATTATAGTACTGTCCGCATCATCAGGGCATCAAGATGTTTTTTGTTTTGTTGTTGCTTCTGTTGATCCTGTTGAAGAACATTTTGGTTTCTAGGATGTACTTTTTTGGTTTTTGAGGTAGACATTCAGAGTTTCTTCATTCCAAATGACATCTAAGTAAAAAAGAATGAGAGCATGTAGGGTTAGCGACATGTTCTCACAAACAGTCTATCGCTGCAGGCAGCCTGTTCAGACCTGCTGTTCTTGTTCAGCAGAAACACCAAAAGCTAGGTTAAAAATCTGAGTTTACATTTCGCAAAAACAGAATAGAGAAGACACTTTTTTGGTGAAAATTATAACAAAAACCTGCAAATTATAGCACTTTCCAACTTTTCTATATCAAATAATACTTATGAAGTGCTTTGTTTTTCTGTTGGACAATAAGTAAACATGGTGTTTGTGACACTTAAAAAAACCACAACACAATTGTCCATGAGCTAATATTGTATTTACTCTCTCATTCTTATTCACAACAGTCTATGAAGCAAAAGTTACCATGAGACAAAAATGGTCTAACATAGTAAACAAAGTATTTTTTGCTTAAGATTTTTGAATTATTTGACTATGCACTCATAAAAGAACAGCCAAATCAAATGTAAAGCAATAAGGCTTTGCTCCATTACCAGTAAAAAAAACCCCAATAAATCTTGGTCCCTGAATGCAACATCTAAGTGGTGCATGTATGGATGATGGCCCCTGCATGTGAGGATCTCCAGTGTGGCACTAGATGCATTTTAGTGTAAACACCTGTCATTTGTCACCTGGGGTAACAAGATGGCGTCGGTGCTTGGCTTAGCCGCGGTCACCGGCCACTTTTTCAAACTTTTCTTTGTCACGTTGAGGAGCAGGAGGTTTGGACCCAAGATGCAGAACTCCCGGAACGACTCAAGGCAGGAGTGGTTAAAGAAAATAATTCCTTTATTTAAAGGAGGATGCGCCAAAAGACCAAAGCACAAAAAACAGACTAAACCTTAAAAAAAAAAGAACACACTGAACGCTCAAAAACAAACAAAAACTCACGCATGAGCACAGACTTGGAGAAACTCGAGAGGGAACAGAACAATGCTGACACAAACACAATGGACCAACAAACATTGAGGGACAAGACAGGGTTTTTAACACAGCGGGAAGCAATCAGGGGAACAGGTGGCAGGTGTGAGGAGTGAGGTCTGGAGGGAAGACGGGTGCCATTAATAAACTAAATGGGGAAAGAACTTAAGCAGAGGGGAAGATAAACCATAACCTATAAAACACTAAATAACTAAGACTAAGGGCAAAGATAAACAACTAATGACTAGAGGGGTAAGGAGGACTAATACAAACCAATGAGAACTACACGGGAGTGACTAGGAGGAAACATGAGGGAAGGCTTCATAGAGTTAACTAGTTTGGTTAACTCAGGCAAAAAAACAGGAGCAAAGCTATCTAGGATGATGGGCCTGGTTGGAGTCGGGAGAGGCAGCGATAAGGCTGAAGGAGAGATGCTAAATCTAACCTTATTGACTTTGTCCACAAAGAAAGACGGAAAGTTCTCAGTCTGTAACAGAGTGGATGGAGGCTGTAGGAGAGGCAGGAGAGACGATGCTGCGGATGGTGTTAAACAGCACCTTGGGGTTCCCTTTGCTCTGGGACACCAGGTGGGAAAAATAGGAAACCCTTGCTTCTCTGACTGCAGAGTTAAAGGATGTCAGAAGATCCTTTAGGTGCAGCAGATGGACATGGAGATGGGTTTTCTTCCACAAACGCTAAATTTTTCTGCATTGGCGCTTCAGGCTGCGAAGGCTGTCATTAAACCAGGGAGTAGGGTTCACTGCAGGAACTGATCTGGTTCTGACAGGACAGATGTTGTCCAGAATGGAGAGGCAGTGCTCGTTAAACTGAGAAGTTAAGGAATGTGGGTTATTATCAGAAGAACAGGGTGGATCAAAAGTAGCAGAAAAATTGCTAGCTGTGCTCTCATTAAGAAAACGAGAACTAACCATACGGCGAGCAGGAGGTGGGGATGCAGAAACTGACAAGTTAAAGAAAATGCAATGGTGATCAGAAATATAAACGTCCTCAGGACAAACACTGTCAGCATTTAGACTCAGGGTAAAAACAAGGTCCAGAGTGTGTCCCCTGGTGTGTGTGGGGCCAGAAACATGCTGGGTAAAGCCGAAGGAGTCCATAAGGCTGGAGAAATTCATGGCAAAGAGATCAGAGGGATCATCAACGTGTATGTTAAAGTCACCAACAATCACCAGTCTGGACAGCTTCACAGTGGAGGATAGAAAGTCACTAAACTCCTGAAGGAAAGAACTGTTTGGACCAGGTGGACAATAGACCACAGCACAGTAGAACGGGTCCTTACGCCCGACTTTAATCAGCTGCAGTTCAAAGGAAGCAAAGTGACCAGAGGTTGTAGAGCTACATGGATGATGGTCTCTGAAAACAACAGCTAGGCCTCCACCACGACCAGAACCCCGGGGGGGCTGGCTAAGAAAAGAATAACCACTCGGGCAGAGTTCAATCAGACCAGAGTAATCAGATGTTTGCTGCCAAACTTCAGTCAGAAACAGAAAATCCAGGTTTTTAGAGAGAATTAAATCATTGAGCAGGAGGGACTTATTGTTAACAGAGCGGGTATTTAATAGAGCCATGCTGAGTGAGGTGGAGGAATCAGAAACTACAGAAACAGCTGGAGTTAGCAGACGTAAATTAGCAGGGTTAGATCCACGGTGTTTATAAAAACCACTTATGGAGGGAACAGGATGAGAAACCTCTGAGGAATGAGGATAAACCGACCTTAAAAAACTTGGACGGAGAAACCACGCCTCAACGCGGCCTGGCGGGAATGCAGAAGTGGCGCTCTCAAGTCGCCAAACAAAGGAAAAGAAGCTAGAAGATCACACCGATGTTTACTAGATAAACCACAATTTAAGAGAAGTCTTATTCTCACCTGGATTCCTGCTCGTTTACCTCTTTTCCTCCGACGTTTTCCCAGGACCGGATAAAAATCACTGGAGGCGCTCTGGTTGGAATCGTCGTTTGGCTCCGGGTCAGTGCGCCACTCAGATAAACAAGCAGTATGGTATGTCCTCGGTGCATCTTGGGCAATTGTGAACGAACAGAAGGACAAAAGAGTCTGGCGATCATAGGAGATGGTAGCAGGGACACTACTGAAGAGGATTGCAGACAGGAGCAAGGTGGAAAAGAGGAGGTTAGTGGAGAATGTCATGTTCTGTGTCCCCTTGATCCCCAGCCCCCTCCTGTTCGTCCTCTGTGTGCCCCTCATGTGTCCCCTTGTGCACTGCGTGTCTCCTTGTGTTCTCCAGCTTCCTGTAGACCTCTGCATGCCCCCTCAACTTCTTACCCTCATCTTTGTTTAAAAGTGCTTTTCAGTCCATCGGTCCCAGCGTGCTCTATAATTAATGCTTCTCTGGTTTCTGGTCAGGTCCCTGCTTACTTTAAGAATGCTGTAATCCACCCGCTTCTTAAAAAACCGAGTCTTGACCCCTCTCTCCATAGCAGCTTCAGACCCATCTCTAAACTTCCGTTCGTCTTCAAGATCTTGGAAAAGGTTGTGGCTAAACAACTCACAGCTGCTCTTGATGAACATAACATCTATGATAGCTTCCAGTCAGGCTTTTGTAGAGCTCATTCTACTGAAACAGCTCTTCTTAGGGTGTCTAATGACCTTCTGACTCACAGTGATGCAGGGGACTGTTCTGTTCTGGTCCTGCTGGACCTGACTGCAGCCTTTGACACTGTTGACCATCACCTGCTACTGGAGAGGCTGAGAGACTGGGTAGGCCTATCAGGAACTGCTCTGGTGTGGTTCTCCTCTTATCTTTCTGAGCGCTCCTTTTCTGTAGCCGTCTCCAAGTTTAGGTCCTCCACCACCTCTCTTACCCATGGTGTCCCACAAGGTTCTGTGCTGGAGCCTCTGCTCTTCCTCCTCTATCTGCTTCCTCTTCAGCACATCCTGAGTGCCTTCAAAGGAATCTCCTACCATCTTTATGCAGATGACTGTCTGAGGAGAGGGTCAAAAACAGCTACAAAAGTGGCTTTTACCTGAAAATGATCAAACTCTGACAAGTTATTAAAACTAAAAGTGACACTATACCCCTTACCATGGTTTTGTGTGGTCCAAACAGATGTTGTCTTCAGTTAATTTTCCTTTGCTAGAAAGCCTTTCCACAAACCAATGATAGCGCCGGAGATCCAGTTCCTCTAGCCTAAACCCTTAAGAACAAAGAACGTTCTTTCAAACAAATTTCAACAACCCAAATGACCCAAATGAGTCTGTGGTTCATTGGGATGGTCTGAAAACAGAAGACTTCTAGATAAAATGCAAAATGTGTTCATGAAAGAAAATAGCTTCAGTTGTACTTTTAGGATCCAGATTTTCTTCACCAGCAAATTTATCATGTTCAGTGATAATTTTATGTTGCATCAGTGCTCCTGGAAAATAAGTACAGCTATATTTTCGATAAATAAACATGCTTTAAAATCTTTGAGCAACATGTGGTTGGCATTTACAAAAACATCCATCCATTCTACAAGGGGAAATTTGAACTCTGCACACATTACAAAGGTCAGCTTGCCAAATAAAAGAGCTTTGCCTGCTGTCCCAACCGTTTTGCAAACAAAAAAGTGAGAATGATACCTCTGGGGTATACAGTTGCTGGGAAATAATGTTTAAATGTTTTTTTTATATTCTTAATGCCATGAGATATTTTAAGTGCAGTGAAAAGAAACGGCAACATTTTCAACTTTACTCAGATTTTTAATACATTTTCAGTGGTTTCAGGTAGGAATTAATGCCTTTTAAGTCGTAATTGGGGGAAAAAAGCTCTGATGTGCCTGCTTCATTAACTTAGTGAGCCAGATCAGAGTTGAGCTTTGGGCAGCAGGATTTGGAGTCTTACTTCCTGCTGTTTGGAAAGCTCACCTCAGACTGGCAAACAGTAACACAACTCTACCACTAACTCTGTTTGGTCTGCAATGCTGATGTTTTATCTCCACAAATAACACAAGCCTGAAGGAGTACTGCCATGTGGTGGAGTCACTAATGCTAATGGTTAGCTTTTGCTAGCCGAGATATCGAATCTAATTGGCAGCAAACTGTCTTCCCTTGTTAAGTGCAGACTGTCCTGCCAAAAACAGAACAGCTGTTTTGGGGAATTTTGTAAAGAAAATGCAAACTAAGTTGTACAATAACCAATCTGTCTTGTTTAGCTAATTATTATTTTTGTTTCTTTTATTTAAAGAAAAATGAAAAACATAAAATGTAAACTTATAATAAATTTTGTTGCATTCATCACACTCTTGGACTTTATCTATATCTGATGGCTCTCAAGCACTGAAGTTGTATCAAAGTAGAGGACACAGGCTAAACATTTGTGTGCCTTACCTGGGTATGAAATGCAATAAAACTGCTCTTTTTTGCCCAGCTGTGTGCAGCAGGTCTGTTTCTCTTCTAGAATAATAAAAACTGTTGAAAAATAGTGTCATGATCCGCCCCGGCCTCCCTGTCTGTGTCTCTCCTGCCCTTGATTAACCTTATTGTTCTCACCTGTCCCTCATTACTCTGCCCATGTGTTCCTGATTCCCTTGTGTATATATACCTCCCTCTTTGCTCCTGTCAGTTGTCGTATCATTGTCGTTCATGCATGTTTGTTTGTCCAGTCGCTCCCAGTCTACAATTAAACATATTTTTTTTTTCATCCGTTTGCCTGCTCTTCTGCCTCCTGAAACCCACCACCACACATGGTCTGCCATCTCCCCCGCAGAACATGGCAGAATGATCCGACCAACCTGGACCTGTGGTGAGCTTACCGTTCTGTTTCTGGAGGATTATTTTTTCTTTTTTGTCCCTTTCAGCAGAGGGAGATTTCTGGCCTGGAGTTTTGTGTTTTCGGCGCATCCTACCTGTTCTCGGGGTGGTCGAAGTCCTCTGGGGAATCCTGGCACATCCTATTTGTCTTCGGGGTGGTCAGGGTCATTCTCCTCCTGCTGTTTCACCCCGTCCCGTTCTTCTCCTGGAAGCCGCGGATCCTGGAGCCTCAAGGGAGTTACACCCCCTACGCACGCCATTGTTCTCCGGGGTGGTAGGGCTGGTCTCCCCACTCTTCTCCTGCTTCCCTTCACCCGAGCCTCCGCCGATGGACCCAGCAAATCGGGATGTGCACCTTCTCTGACCGGATGTCGAGTACCTGCCGCCGAGCTGGGCTTCCTCGCATCGCTCCCGCTGTTCAACCATTTCCTGGTCCACGCCTGCGGGGTCTGTGTCTGCAGGTCCTCCACGCGGCAGTTCCTGCTGGGTCCTATGCCTGCTGCTGCAGTTCCTGCTGGGTCCCACGCCTGCTGCTGCAGTTTGTCTTTGTGTTCCTGGTGTCGAGTCAAGTGTTCCTGGTGTCGAGTCAAGTGTTCCTGGTGTCGAGTCAAGTGTTCCTGGTGTCGAGTCAAGTGTTCCTGGTGTCGAGTCAAGTGTTCCTGGTGTCGAGTCAAGTGTTCCTGGTGTCGAGTCAAGCGTTCCTGGTGTCGAGTCAAGCGTTCCTGGTGTCGAGTCAAGCGTTCCTGGTGTCGAGTGTTCGAGTCGAGTGTTCGAGTCGAGTCAAGTGTCTGAGTTTCCTGGTCCGTCCCAAGTCAAGTCCGAGCTCGAGAAACCCTTCGTAAGTCGTAGTTGTGCCGCCTGTTCCCAGAGGCCCCTGCTCCGCTGCCCTGGACTGTGTTCTTTGTTCCCTGGTTGCGTCTTCTGTGTTCCCTAGTCATGTGTGCCCAAGTCTGGTCTTCGTTCGTTCCCGAGTCTCCTGTGCTTTGTGGCTTGTGGGTGTCTGGTATCCGCCCCTTGAGGGGGGGGGGGGGGGGGGGGGGGGGTACTGTCATGATCCGCCCCAGCCTCCCTGTCTGTGTCTCTCCTGCCCTTGATTAACCTTATTGTTCTCACCTGTCCCTCATTACTCTGCCCATGTGTTCCTGATTCCCTTGTGTATATATACCTCCCTCTTTGCTCCTGTCAGTTGTCGGATCATTGTCGTTCGTGCATGTTCGTTTGTCCTGTCGCTCCCAGTCTACAATTAAACATATTTTTATTTTTTTCATCCGTTTGCCTGCTCTTCTGCCTCCTGAAACCCACCACAACACATGGTCTGCCATCTCCCCCGCAGAACATGACAGAATGATCCGACCAACCTGGACCTGTGGTGAGCTTACCGTTCTGTTTCTGGAGGATTATTTTTTCTTTTTTGTCCCTTTCAGCAGAGGGAGATTTCTGGCCTGGAGTTTTGTGTTTTCGGCGCATCCTACCTGTTCTCGGGGTGGTCGAAGTCCTCTGGGGAATCCTGGCGCATCCTATTTGTCTTCGGGGTGGTCAGGGTCATTCTCCTCCTGCTGTTTCACCCCGTCCCGTTCTTCTCCTGGAAGCCGCGGATCCTGGAGCCTCAAGGGAGTTACACCCCCTACGCACGCCATTGTTCTCCGGGGTGGTAGGGCTGGTCTCCCCGCTCTTCTCCTGCTTCCCTTCACCCGAGCCTCCGCCGATGGACCCAGCAAATCGGGATGTGCACCTTCTCTGACCGGATGTCGAGTACCTGCCGCCGAGCTGGGCTTCCTCGCATCGCTCCCGCTGTTCAACCATTTCCTGGTCCACGCCTGCGGGGTCTGTGCCTGCAGGTCCTCCACGCGGCAGTTCCTGCTGGGTCCTATGCCTGCTGCTGCAGTTCCTGCTGGGTCCCACGCCTGCTGCTGCAGTTTGTCTTTGTGTTCCTGGTGTCAAGTCAAGTGTTCCTGGTGTCGAGTCAAGTGTTCCTGGTGTCGAGTCAAGTGTTCCTGGTGTCGAGTCAAGTGTTCCTGGTGTCGAGTCAAGTGTTCCTGGTGTCGAGTCAAGTGTTCCTGGTGTCGAGTCAAGCGTTCCTGGTGTCGAGTCAAGCGTTCCTGGTGTCGAGTCAAGCGTTCCTGGTGTCGAGTGTTCGAGTCGAGTCAAGTGTCTGAGTTTCCTGGTCCATCCCAAGTCAAGTCCGAGCTCGAGAAACCCTTCGTAAGTCGGAGTTGTGCCGCCTGATCTGAGAGGCCCCTGCTCCGCTGCCCTGGACTGTGTTCTTTGTTCCCTGGTTGCGTCTTCTGTGTTCCCTAGTCATGTGTGCCCGAGTCTGGTCTTCGTTCGTTCCCGAGTCTCCTGTGCTTTGTGGCTTGTGGGTGTCTGGTATCCGCCCCTTGGGGGGGGGGGGGGGGGGGGGGGGGTACTGTCATGATCCGCCCCAGCCTCCCTGTCTGTGTCTCTCCTGCCCTTGATTAACCTTATTGTTCTCACCTGTCCCTCATTACTCTGCCCATGTGTTCCTGATTCCCTTGTGTATATATACCTCCCTCTTTGCTCCTGTCAGTTGTCGGATCATTGTCGTTCGTGCATGTTCGTTTGTCCTGTCGCTCCCAGTCTACAATTAAACATATTTTTATTTTTTTCATCCGTTTGCCTGCTCTTCTGCCTCGTGAAACCCACCACCACACATGGTCTGCCATCTCCCCCGCAGAACATGACAAATAGGTCCAAATCATAATCAGCTTTGAATTAAATTTTCATTGATCTCAGATGATGAGAGAGTTCTAACTTGCAAACAGCCTATGAAAGTGCAGGACATAAGATAGCCTATAGTAATAAGATAACCCTAATGCTTAAGAGCCAACAGATGTATAGTCAGTCTAACAGTGTAATAAACAAGATTTATTACAAATACACGTGACATTTTTCAGGTTATTTTATGAAAAGACTGCAACTGGTTTGTTGCAAAACAGAACAGAATGATTAATATAGTGATAAGATCACATTTTCTTCAATAAACTCCAAGATCTGGCTGCAGGCATAAAAACCCTGCAGTGAGGCAAGACAGTTTTCTGTTACATGAAATAACCATGTTACATAAACATGTTACATGTACAACGGTACACAACAGTAGCAGCTACCTCCTCCACCGCACTACGTTGAATTTTTGTGGTAGTTTTAGCCGAGATGACTCTTTTTCGTGGAAGCCATTAGGTTGTGGATCGTAGAACGCTAACAGGAAACAAGTGCTAACTTCCAGTAAATACCCTGGAAGTTAGCATTTTCTCGTGCACAGGGTATTGTGAACAGAACTTGAGGACCCGTAAGGACACCAAGACACAGCAAGGCGCTTATTAATGTCTTTATTAAAAAGAAACCACAACTAGGTGTTGCCAGAGGTGGGTGAGGCTGAGGCAGGGTTAAGGTTGTTTTATGCTTGACACATCCGCGAGGTTCGCACGGCTCTGCGTGGCAAAATTGCGTAATTTTAACAACCACGCCCCTCCACCGCGCCTCCGCACGGCCCAAAATTTCCGCACCGCGCACCTAGGAAATTTTCTAACCACGCGGATGGTCGAACGTGGAAAAACATGGCGAACTGGCAAGAACTAGTGTGGCAGAGGTTCGTAAATACAGACATTTGTATGATTCAGCTCTCAGAGATCACCGTGATCAACATCAACATGAGGCACGGTGGAGGGGCGTGGTTGTTAAAATGATGCAATTTAGCCGCGCGGAGCCGTGCAAACCTCGCAGATATGTCAAGCATAAATAAACATTTACGGTGATGCAGCAGAGGCTACACCAGTAATTGGGGGGGTGGGGGTGGGGGCAGGTTCCTGATTGTCCCCCCTTCAACTTGCAACTGCCTGCCCCCTCAGTAGTTGGGAGACCAGAGCCATCCCTGGGATCCTCTGAACCATACGCGGATTTCCAGACGGGGATGGGCACCCCCACACGGGGACATACTTGGCAGGCAACAAATGTAAACAAATTGAACGGGATCGGCTTGGATTTTACTTTGTCGGAGTTTACTTCACACTTAAAAACCGAAGAAATCGCTTTATATAGTCAGAAATTAAATAGACTAAACATCTCCGACCCTTACCGTGCCCCTGGGATACTTTTTAAAAACGCCAGAAGCTGTTGGAGCGGACTTCTTACCGGACCTGGCCGGGGAACCCCTTGGGATTTCCCCGGAGGAGCTGGCCCAAGTGGCTGGGGAGAGGGAAGTCTGGGCCTCTTGACGCTACTGACCCCGTAACCCGACTCCGGATAAGCAGATGAAAATGGATGGATGGACAAATAACAGATTTACACGTAAGTAGTTTAAATAGAGTGCTGTGCTGTTTGAATGTATAAACTGAACACCAAGAGAAATCACTAGTTTGATTTTTTTCTGTGAAAAAAATAAATATGTCAGGCAAGAGCGTCTCAGGATCTGTCTGAGATCTGTCTCGGTGAGACATATAATAGCAATCCAAAGTGCTTTTTATGTGTGATCTGACAATTGATCAACCATTGCTTAAAAATTAAATACAGCTTAGCCGGTTAATTGCTGTGATCATAAAACATGTAAACGGCAGCACGCAGAACTCTCGGGCAACGTTTTACGTGATGTTTACTTGCTGCTGTGAGTAATAAGACAGAAAAAGCCACGCCAAAATAAGTTTAGGAAGACCACTAAGAATCGTAATAAAAGCATTTAAAATAAATACCATATACAGTTGAGGAAACGTTGGTTTAAGTACCTGATATGAAGTGGTCGCTGCATAAGTGAAAACCTTTAGTCTCGGGATCCCACAGCTTCATTTTAGCCCGGTCTCTAGTGCGTTTTATTACAATGATCCAACGTTTGCGGCGCTCCGGATCTTGGGGAATCCTGTAGATGGCTCACTCCTTATGTCATCCGCGTCTGTTCTGCATCCTGGGGCACAACAGGAATCTACCATATTTCCCGTTTGATTGAGTTTTCTGACAATAACAAATAGCCCAGCTGCGGGCTTCTGCCTGCCAATATGGCGCAGTTTCGATTTGAACTGTTGCATGCCGGGAAAAGTGACGTCAACTCCCGGAGCTCTATAGGGGCCCCAGACTGCAACACCATGCCCTCCCCTAATGATAAATAACTAACAATGGGGGCCCAGGTGTGTTCAAATTTGCTAAGTAGATTTTTTCTATCAGCAGACATTGTTTTTCTGAAGACATGATCCAACAGATGTCCTTTGAACTGAATACTTAAGGTCTTCTTTTGTTTCCAGTAAAAAAACAAAACAACCCTTCCTTAATAGTGCTTAAAACCAAGTAAACGAAATATTGTTGCTTCATGATTATTGTGATGTCCCCAAGCAGGCAGAGTGAGGGGGAGACAGGGATGGGACAGTCCAGGCATTGTGTTATATCCTCATGTACGCCCTGCCAAAATGCACTAATGAATGGGCATTCCCAAACCACATGCAAATAGGTATCAGTTGGGTCCCCCATGCAACTGGTACAAACACCAGTTTGTCTCAGACCCATCTGGAACAATCTTTGCCTTGTGTAGTGTATTCTGTGCAGAACTTTCAGCAAATTAGCTGTAAATTGTAGTTTTGAGTCATTTAAAATGTGTTTTTATGGATATCCCTCCACCGATTTAAGTCAGGGTTCATAGATAAATATTTCTCCCATTTAAACAGACAGAGCGAGGGATGAATCTATCTTGGAGATTGTTAATTACATTTTAGATACTAATTTTGGGGTTGGAGTTTTACGAAATTTGTGATGGTGGATGGAGGCTCTGAGTCAAGTTGCCTAATAATAAATCTTGATTGAATAATAGATTATAGTTAAACATTTATCAGAAGATAATGCAGCAAATACGGGCAGAAGACTCTTTTCATGTTCAGCTTGCATGATAATTTCAGAGTGACCAATTAAATGGTTTTTCAGTTAACTTGATCTAGTATTGAAATATTTTACTTTCTGAAATCCAGGATTTGTTACAGGTTTTTATTTTACAAAAACAAACTTCTTACATTCATATTGTGTGCAATAATGCAACAATTTCCTTTTTCAGTTACCTTTGGGGAACTGGTTCAAAGTGTTCCTTCCAAATGTTGCAACACCACCACCTCTTTCTTGGAACATTTTCCCACATGATTATAAAACGTGTGTTGTTTTGCTTCCGGTCAGCTACAAGAGTATAAATATGGCCCAGCTAAAAAAAGGGTAGGATAAAAAACCCAAACTGTGAAAATGAGCAGCAGACTTAAAGCAGTGGGATCTACAAATCTCCTTTCTGTTAGTTCATTTTGTGGAACGCCCCTTTATTCCACTTTATGCAAAAGAGAAAAGAAAGAAAACAATCTTTTATAAAGCACCTCTCAAAATAAAAATCACGAGACACTTCACAAAAACAAAACAAATGAAAGTATAAAAAAAGATTTAAAAAAATAATTGAATATATGTTTAAAATGAGAAAAAAAGAATTTGTGATAAAATATTTAAGGAAAAGGAGAGAGAAAATGAATAGGAAAGAGGGAAATCAGTGGAGAATAAAGAACGACTGAGAGTTCGTACAGGTAAATTTTGTTCACTGATGTCAAGATTGAGAAGTTTTTTTTTGTTAAAGACTAAATGAACATTCCTTTAGTGTTTAAGAAAACAGTTAAGTGCTAGAAATAAAATGTATTTTCACCTTTCCTCTACCAATCTTCTGTTATTGTGGAGCAAAAATGTCTTTTTGCTCTTTTATTATCAGCTTGTTAGTCTTGATGAACTGAGAACTTTAAAGTGACAGTGTGTAGTTTCCCTGGCGATAGGGGGTAGTACCTACCTAAATGAAATCAAGCAAGCATTACTTTTGTGTTCAAGTAAGACCTTACCAACAGATGGCTATTAGGGTCAAAAATCCCTGGGAGCACAACCTCCAGCAAAATAACAAGAACATCAGCTTCCCTTTCATCACTGGCAACAAGTAAAGAGGTCAATGTGTAAAACAACAATGTTTATTTTTGGTGAAAGTTTTTCAACCATTTGTTACAAATCAGTAAATGCATTTTGTTCTCACTGGCTCCCGTAAAGGGAACATGGCATTCAATATGGCGTCACCCAGAGACTTAGACCCACTCCCATATATTTTAGAACAGATTTCTATGGTTATATGTTATGAAACTGCCAGTATTTTTCATCAACTGGGCATCTTTTAATTCATTTACAACAACATTTTGATGGATATTTCCAGAGATTAATAGTAAAAACTACACATTATCTCTAAAGAGGGACTGCACACCATCAGAAAATATAACTCCACCCCCTAGTCAAGATTTGAAATATGCCATGGCCATGTGTAGGGAATTTCCATCCTGAGAGGGCGGAGGAGAGGGAGGAGACTGTACCGATGCCATGAAATTGTACCAGCCCCAGTCAATTCAATTCAAGTTTATTTATATAGCGCCAAATCACGACAAGAGTCGTCTCAAGGCACTTCACATAATAAACATTCCAATTCAGGTCAGTTCATTAAGCCAATCAGAAATAATGTTTCCTATATAAGGAACCCAGCAAATTGCATCAAGTCACTGACTAGTGTCAGTGACTATACAGCAGTCCTCATATTAAGCAAGCATAAAGCGACAGTGGAGAGGAAAACTCCCTTTTAAC